TTGTAGTAAGGTAGGATGACATTTACACTATTAATTTTTTTTTTGAAAAAATTATTTGAATTTAGAACAATATGGATCAATATATGAAACATGCTTTTATAAAAAGGAAAAAAAACTTTCCTTTTATTTATTTATTTTTTAATTCGAATTTTCTTTGCTAACTCAATATGGATAAAAATTTGTATTATTTTCTCCATTAATATGAAATTTAAAATAATATTTCTGATCAAAGAAGAGTGCATAAGACTTAGAAAAAAATATGTAAATACAAATCTCCAAATTTGAAATATATTGAATACATATTTTTATTATACTTTCATAATTTGTTGTTTTTTTAATTTGAAATTTCGCTTTATAGTATATGCTTCTAGTTCTGTTTTGCCTATGAACTTTTTTAAACCCTGACAAATGATATTTAGGCTTGAATGGTAAATAAAATTAATTAGTTTCGAAATTTAGATATGAGGAAATAGGTTGCTAAAAAAAGTCCATAAAAATGTTTTAATAAAAAGCTGTTTACGGTTACATGCTTTCTTTATCTATCATCAATGTGTCCGTAACAAACATCAGTTATCAAATAATTAAAACTTTAATTTTCGAAAAAAAAAACTGTATGTTTACATGTAATAATGAGTTATTTAATCAAATATAATTTGGTACTGATAAAAACTTAAGCAGTTAAAATGATTTTCAATATAATTGTATTAATTCCTTTGGGTTCGCCGGTGATCGATGGAGTAATGATGAAGGTGTTATGATTCTATTAGCTAATGGTTCCTATATATTTCTCGGCAAGAGGTTAAAGCCTCAAGGAAGAGGACAGTTTGATATTAATGGCAACTTAGTTGAAAGGTCCCTTCAAGTCAAGGCTTTCTAGATAATTTTCTGCCTGTCAGCTCAGTCAGATGTATAACTGCCTGGTTTCGGTCGATATTACTATCAATATACAGTTCGTATTTTCTTTTAAGTTTTTTCCATCTTATTATTTTTTTTTTTGCGAATTTGTTTCTTCAATTTCGTACTGTTAATGAAAAATTATATAAAATATAACGATATTTGACGCGTTTCCGTTACGATTTCATAATATGCGTCGTTAACAGCTATAATTAATTGGGAAAATAATATATTTCTTTTTAAAGTTGAAAGTAATGCTTAAAATAGCAGCTACTCTCATATGAAACTTCTGGGGTTAAAAATTCGAGTATTAGTATCAGGCCCTGTCTAGCTCCGTTTGGGACCTGGAATGAGCCACTTATTTAAATACTTTGAAATCATTTGTATATATACACGGGCGGATCTACGGGGGAGGGGAGGGGAGAGAGAGAGCTTTGGGGCTGAAGCCCTCTCCAAAATGGAAAAATATAACCATGTTTTATGGAAAAAAATATTTTAAAAATATGTCTTAAAGTATTATTGTTCGTGTAATCACATTTAAAAGGACTTTAAGAATTACTTAAACACCATTTCATACAGAGAGAGAAATACTTTAATTAAAGCAGTGCTGCCCTACTATATAGGGTTGCTCGATACACAGCATACTCATCAATCCTTTTTTTTTTTTTGGACATAGCACTTAATTATACTTAATCATATGTTTATATATATACAAATTCTTTTTCATATTACACAGTACAAAGAATATCAATACTATAATATACTAATACACGAAACGGATAAAAGACAATTTCTGAAACCTACAGGGCTAAATATATATATATATATATATATACTTCAGTAACACGATTAATTTACTTGTAAAACCGGTATTACGAGTACACCATTTTTTCCATTTTACAACAATGAATTCAGATTGGATAACAAGTTTCTCTTGATAGTAACAATTATTTAAAGTTGAATGCTACTAACTGAGGAATTTAATTAGTAGTCCATTTTTCCAAACATTATAATCTTCATTATTTCAAACTTAAAAATATTGCTATTTTATTTATTTTTTAATAAATAAAAAATCAATCACCAGAAAATAGAAAAGAAATTAGAATTTTGTCTGTAAAACAAATTTAGCAATGTAAAATAAATTGTACTTACTGATAATGTATATAAAGCTCGAAATCGTCCGACGACTGGAATCTATGTGCTGCACCATGAGTTGCAAATTACTATTAATTTTTTTCCAAAACCTGTGTGTTAATCTTGAGTTTCGTTTTGTGAATAACTAATAATCATTACTTTATAAATTCATGACAGTGATAATAACTCAGTACAATTTAATATTTTGTAACAAATTATAGAATGTTTTGAGATCATAATGATACTCCAGTATTCTGCGGTATCTTCAAGTTTCAGTGAAATTAAATATTTGAGTAATATAATTGTTGGGTGTGTCCTGCTAATTTATCATTTTATTTGCCTTTACAAAATTAATACTTTTAATAACTCCCGTTTCTTCTTTTACAATATCCTCAATTTCCTGAGTAAATTGCCACTAATGACTACCTTATTTTCTTATCATTTTACCTTTCCTAATATACCATCATTTCCTGAATGATTCATAAACACACATTGCATTATAACGTGTACAATAAACAATAGAACGGTTTCGTTTGATATCGGACCAATTTTCCTCTAATATGAAAATTAAACATTTCCTTAGCAAAACTAGTAGATTAGTTCCAAAATCAAATGCAGTATTCTTAAGAGATTTGTCTAGAAAGTGTGACTTATCCATCGAAAGTATAAACATATTTTAACTACAATAATAAAAGTGGTATTGGGTTCATTAATTTATAATAAAGTAATATTTATTCGTCAATAGCGTAAAAGGTGTATAACCTAAGATGGACACTAAAAAACCTGGCAAGATCTGTATGCGATCATGGTAAAACGTCTTCTTTTTTTTTTATTGATATTTATAACTATAGTAACTAAAAAAAAAAAGTGTATGAGGATTATCAAGAATCGAAAAGGAATCACGAAGGATTTTTTATTATAAATTTTAAACACGAGAGGAATTCGATAGATCAGTGATGTTCCAAAGCTCAACTGCGATAAGACCAAGCTGGTCATATTATACTCATAGAAATGAGGCTTTTGTAATTCATTGGCAGCTTAGAGCGTTTGTCTACAACTTGATGAAGCAGTTGGAAACATAGACCATTTTCTTCTCGTATCACTCTAATATGGACATATGAATATAATGACGTGAACACTTGTGGAGAAACTACCCAATGGTAGCACTCCAATGATATGTCTACATTAGTAGATCACGGGAGATCATTAGGAGATCTTCTCAGACGCCTCGGAGGGTTATCAGGAATCGAAGAGAAAGCAAGTTTAGAAACGAGAGGGTTGCGATGACTCTGAAGTTTATTATGGAAGGATAGGTATCTGGTTTGGGCCAGATCTGAAACATAAGCAACATTAAGTTCATTATAGGTGGTATTATTTTTAACAAAGTAGGAAGCATTAAGGATTTTACGAAGGATTTTGGACTGTAAGGATTGGATACGAGAGAAATTCCATGGTTTAATGGAGCCCCAAAGCTCTACTCCGTAAGTCCGTAAGTGCTGAAGTAATCGAAAACGTTGTGCGGTTTCTTGTCATTTCAGTCTGGTATATGTAAAATTAAAAGTACCATATTTTACTTCAAATTGAAACGTAATTTGATCGAGAAGAATTTATTTTAAAAATTGCTCTAATATAAATATATAAAACATTAAAAATATTAATTATGATTTATGATGTTTTTGTAGCCTTTTTCTAAAGCTCAACCGATAATCATGGTAAATTTCACTATTGTCTAGAATTTTATTTAGAATATCTTTCAAATAATACTGAAACTTGGCACTAATTACTTATCTCTCGCCGTCAGATCTTTCGTGAGTTAAAACCGCTCGGGGCTGTGCTGGAATCTAAATGATTAGCGTCTCTAAAGGTCACCAAAATTTTAACTATACAATTTCACTGCACTAGCTTAATTGAAAATAGTAAAAAACAAAAAAAAAACAAATGTAGATTATGGAATATATTATTCAATCTCAATAAGAGAACAAATCATTAAAATTATAATCCCCACATCCCCGCATATATTATTACAGTAAGGCTCGAAATCGGTTTTGTACCAAATATAAGCTCCTGTCATGCTCAAATACCATGAATGGGGTACCGTTGGATTCAGAATTTCACGGGGGGTTAGCGAATCGTATTCTCCACTTTTGCTTTTCTTTCTAAAATAAATAAAGTCGATACAAACATCGAGCCTTCAATACTGGAACGGTGTTGAGTCTGTAGATAGATAGATACGAGACAAATTGAGCTTTGAAGATTTTAATACAAGACCTGGATAGTTCTCTCGGAACTACCGGGTTCTGCGTTTTTAAGCCCCAAAACGTACTATTTTCGAGATAACGCAAGGCATAGGGTTCGCATCCACACAACCTTACATTAATTGTAGTACTGTCATAGAATACATGTCTCATTCGTCGACCTGAGGCCTGTATGATCGAGAGAGCAGGAGTTTATATGATTTATCGATGGTGTTTTTGATCGGCAAGCCATATCATCGTCAATTCTTCACCAAATCTCAAGATGAAGCCGCCAATTTCGAAGGCTTCCTTCTCCTTCAGGCGGGCAAAATAGTCCAATCATCCCGAAAATTCAGCCAATGAAGTTATGAAAGAAAAGAAACTTTATTTGCGAATAACTAAAAAATTATGCACTTTTCCTTGACATTTGTAAACATGTTGGTTCTAAACATTAATGATGTTTTAAATTAATTATTGTTTCCTTTGTCGATTATATCTATCGATAAAGTAACAGTTGATTTCTTTATGTTATGATACGTTGCATTATTTTATTTTTTCATTAATTTGGCATTTGATCACCTAATAATATGCTGTACGAATTTTTCGCACGGGCCTACTAGTATCAATAAAAAAAGAAAAAAAGAGTTGGTATTTTATAATATAAAAGCATTTTGTGATAATATGCTATGGCGTAGATGTTTGGTTCTACTTGGACAGGGCACTAACGATTTTCCAATCATGACCTGTCCGCCGCAAGTTGTGTTTGTTGACTCGACCTGGAACCGAAGCCTTTCTAATGGAGAACCAATACAAACAGTTAGCTCACCCACTGACATACCAGCTCTTTCTTTTCGAGCTATATTGAGATTGCTATTTTCTCTCAGAAATGGGAGTCTAATATTTGCCAAAGTAGGAGGTAACAAAGACTCCTAAAACAAACCCGATTCCGATTTATATACTTTTATTTTGAACACGTTTGCAAATAGAAGAAGAGGAAGACAGATGATGAGGTGGAGAGATGATATAACAAAGACATAAACTGGCTGAGAAAAACGGATAAGATAAGATTGGCAAAAATTGGGAGAGGGCTTCGCTCAATATTGGGCTTAATTCAAGTACTATTTTTTTTTTTACTTTCCTACCTGTATTACTATGTAAGGAAAGTATAGGGTCAAATTTCCGATATGCAGTTTTCGACGGATCTATACAGTTTCACAACCCCCTGTTTTTTTTTTAAGTTAATGAAATTCCCTACAAAACTATATAAAAATCGTTCATTTTGGACAATTATTAACGAAGTTACAGCTATTCAATTTCCAATGTACGATTACGGGTTCATATCCTGGAGTCAGAAAGGGGTGAATGAGAGAAAAAAGATGACTAAGTGAAAGTAAGAAAATCTGTTGCCCGCATCACACAAGCTTCACTATTTCCTTTACTTTTAACAGAAATTATTGTTTGACAATAATAAGCTATGGCAAAAAGTTTTTGATCAGCAATATTAGAGAGTATTGAAATTTTTACAATGATCTACCTTAAGCCGGTTTACATTGCTTTAGTTTATCAAATAAATCTTTTCTTTGATCAATTTTCAGAAAAATAAATCTAGTTCAATTTTTTTTTTTGTTTCTTCATGAACATATGTAAAAATATAAAAACTATTCTGAAATAGGTAGGAAAGTCGTGTGAGTGAACACACCAGATTTTTTTTTTTTTTTATGATTTATAATTTGGATTTTGCAAGTCAGTGTAAACAAACTTTATGTTAATTGACTTAAAACTATGTAAAGAATCATTCTATTTTTATGAATAAAGGCTTTATTTATTTTGAACATTTATATAATTTTTATATTGTTCTTGATATACCTCAAGAGATCTGCAACTTGCACCAAAATAATTTTCGTTTTTCACTGTTCTTGTGTTAACCTTCACCACCAATTGGTTGTGAACTCTAAATGGCCCGCGAACCAAAGCGTTTGAAGACTTTATTCTAGCTTATTTATTTCTTTTATTAAGATAATTCATATTATAACATAGTATTAAATCCCATGACATCTTTCTGGCCGATCCTACGAAATCATTGAAGTCAACTAATCTGTTGCATTTACTGACCTTGTTGCCTTAGGGAAGAAAGCAACAAGGGCACCTTGAAATCCGGCTTGAGGGGAGGAGGGGAAGGAGGGGAAAGGCAGATCCCAATTGGAAAGGTTACTTTCCCCACCAACCTATTTATCGAAATTCGCAACAAAGGCTGAACTCATGGCACAAGGTTGTCCGATCAAGTCATCCTTGCCTAGAACCTAGCTCTCTGTACCACTGGCTCATCCTCAACAGACTCGCATCCCAAGTAGTTGGCTCTAACTCTATTTTTATTCAAATAACTACCTTGGCTTTCTTGTAATGTATTCAACTACTCGCATAAACAACTATTGCTTTATCTCAGCGAACCTACCGACACTGCAACCGCCTTGAAATTAACAAGTAGCCTCTATTCGTTTTAATGAAATAATTTTAATTAGTTTCATCAATTTTTTCAATAATTATTTTTTTAAATATTATTATTCCTATAATTATTAGTTAATGAAAAAAGAACTCTAGTTTCATTTTTTCAATAATTATTTTTTTAAATATTATTATTCCTATAATTATTATTTAATGAAAAAAGAACTCAAGTTTCATATTTTCAAAGGGATGATTCTGTGAAATCTCAAGAAGCTCAAAAACGAAGAAGTGATCTTCAGCAGATAACCTAGAGAACCTACAAACATTTCTGAATCAAACCATGTCCATATGAAGTTGAGTACATTAAAAACGAAGCTTTAACGGACTACTCGAAAAAAGGATCGAATACTCTCTTTCCAGTCAAATGTTTTAGAAATTTTCATTTGATGTATCGTTTTTCTAAACTTTGGAAACTGACTTTGTTTCTGTCATGATTTGATCACTATTAACAAAGTTATGGGTGTTACTACAATGAATTTTATTGTTTTTACGTAACTAATGCCTGTTTTTCTAATTAATTAAAAAGCTATAAATTAGAAGTAATGGCTCTAAAAGATTATTTTGCAGGAATATGATAAAAAATAGTTTCATTGAGCATTAGATCTTTGTCTTAGAGCTGCAAAAAAAAAAATTGAAACGAAAATGAAATACTCATAGAACAAAAATTACTCAGTTGTTTCGTCTCCTGAAAATTTGTAGGTATTGTTCTTTTGCACAGGCTTTTGCAGTGTGGCTGTCGATATGTTATATAACCTTCGCTGTTACCGCTAGGCAGATAGATCTTATGATTTGGTACTGAACACAATAGATTATGAATGCTTGATTACGATTGAAAAAAAAAATTGCAATCGTATATTCATTCGTTTTCATTTGTTTAAACGATTTTGATCTTTAAAATTACTCCTATGTTATTTATAGTATAGTTTAGTTATTTTATATACAATTACAAATTGATATTAAGTCAGTTTTTAAAATGAATCTGTATATCCTATATATATATTTATTATACGTCAGTGTCATATTTTTACAATTTCATTACTCTATATTACAAAAGAAGGTATATATTACGTAATTGGTTGCGATATTGAGGCAAATATGTTATGTTACCCCAATTCGTGCATGTTATCTAAAGACTTTTTTTAGGTCATGCTTCATAGCATAGGTGAATACAGTTAATTAGCTAAGTGCTGAAGAGAAGTTGGCTCGGAAAATCAATATCCTCTTTATTTCATTCATTTATTTATTATCTCCAACGTTAATATATCATAAAAAAAAAACTATATTATACTGTTTTCATTACCGCGCTAAAGAAATTAAAAGAGGAAGGGGCTATAACAGAGAGACATATGAACTCTTTTGGTAAGGAAAGGTCATAGATTTTATGAAGTATTGTCGATTGAAACTCGATGGGCTGGCCACGTAGCAAGAATGAGTGAGAAAGAAATAACCAAGAAACAACTGTTCTGACCGGTCGACTGAGCTAGGAAGACGCTGTTATCAGGGACGCCCCTTAGACGTGCAGAATCGTAAGCTGCTGCACAAGACCGAGTCCCCTCTTCAGCGAAGGCTCGTTGAAGAGGCTCAAGGTCCACATCAGAATATTGAAATTAAATTAAAATAAAAAAACATTTATTTTAGGGAATCATATATTACAAATATATATTAAGTTGATGTCAAAGTTATGTAGATTTCTCCTTCTGCTACGTTTTCAAACTTAGTTACCCAACTATCCTATTCTTCGAACTTCCACTTTCTAAGTACCTGAACAACGTTTTACTAGAGAAAAATCAGGATGATAGAAAATTGCTTTACGAGTGATCACTTCTTTTAGTGATCCAAATTTCTTTACTGGTGTGATAAATAAGCCTGTATGTTGGCAAAAGTGTATTGATATATATTATTTTGACTTCATACACATATATATTCTCGAGATAAATAATACATATTTCTGCGTTTAAACCAAAGCGTTGGCACCCAATATGCATACCTTTTCACTCATAATCTATTTCACAAATCTTAATTTTAATTTACAGCTATTTTATTGTCTTCGGCCGCACTTGTAAATTGCATCCACAGCTACCTAAATCCATTCGTTTATAATTTATTGTGTGTGTTACCAAACCAAATATATATTGAGGAAAATAGTTTCATATCCTGTTCCGTGCTCTTTAATTTCAAAAATTGGAAAGTGACTATAAATGTATTCTTAGAAACTACTAGTGCAATCAATGAGGTCTTGATCTAAATTTTCACGGTTTAGTTCTTATTCTGTTCTGTTTTTAGAAAGAATGTGGTCAAGATTGCAATTCATTGTAAACTATCACTTCACTAGGTTAAAAAAACATCGTTTAATTAATAGTTAATTAAAGTACATATATATTTATAAATAGTGTTAAAAAAGAATAATACATAACTTAATTTATTGCTTATTTGTTTCTAAAATTTATTTTATTCTATTTTTGTACTCATATTTATAAAAACCGGCTGTGCTTGGTTGTTCCGTCTATGCCATGGCCAAGTGAATCTGATTATTTCAATAATATCCGAACATCAGAAACTCGGAGGATTATGGGGAATAGATTTGGAAAAATATATAAATATGTACTTATACATCAAGGAACAGAAGGTTTTCTTTATGATTGTTTTAGTCATCGCTGAACAATTACCTCGCTTACAGTATTCAGGTCCGTTTTTTAGAATCTGAGATATTTTAATATGCAAAAATACACTTCAATTAGTTGACTCCAGCCGAATTTACCCGAACGTTATACATCGGAGATCTGACGGGTCAATCTAATTCATTTTCCTTAAAAACGTTTTCATTTTAATAATATACTTCTGTGTTCATACTCAATATTTTATTGTTGATATTCTATAAGTACTTTGAGAAAGGTAAACTGAAATTGCTTTGCCATTCGATATAGTTAATGATATAGCTATTAGTATTCTAATAATGATTATAGTTAAAAACCGACTGTATTAAAGGTCCCTTAAAAAAAAAACTGAAGTTGTTGGGTTTGTAAATCAATGTATTTTTTTTAGTTTTTGAAGTGTTAACTTCTTTTGACCTGTTTTGTACTATTTTTGTGGAGAGTGAATTAGATTTAGCCGTTAGAACTCTAATGTAGCTCGATGTGTAGCTCTAATGTAAGTCGGATGGAGTCGACTAATTGAAGTTTTGAATATGGATTAAAATTTCTCAAAAACTAAAAATCGGATCTGCATACTGTAAGCGAGGGAATTGTTCAGTATTTCATCCTCTCTGTGAAGGGCTATTATTCAAAATTGTGTCTTAACGCGACGCCGTGTTGCATTCCTAACGCCGTATCAGAGGGCGAAAAGGAAAAAGTAGTGTCATAAAACAAATTATAACGCGTTGTATATTAAAATATCTCAGTAACTAGTACTGTACGCGAGGAAATTGTTCAGCATTTATTTCTCTTCATAGAGATCTATTACTTATAATTTATATTTCATATTATTAATCTCGCCTTATTGATATTTTCACTTCTTTCGTGTGGTCTAAAGCAACCTCCACCATAGTTATTTTTTTTTTATTCTTATTATTTTCTAGTTAATTTTGTACGTACAGTCTTAAGCATAAAGAATTAAGAAGTAGGTTATTGCTGGTGAATAAAAGACATATTACACGTTTTCCTCATTCCGCTGCCTTTAAGGCTCCCACCTGGTTACGAAGCTTACATTCCTCCTCAGAGGTGGTAGTATTCGGTACCCTCTTCTCCATGTTGGAAGCCCTCAGACTAGTAATGATAGCCCCCAGGGACCAACCTCAGGTCCTTATCCTGCTCGACAAAAAATCATTTCACTGGAAATTGAATCCCCTGACCTCTGGGGCTCGGATTCCCCCAGCCTACTCGCCCCTCTTCTCAATCAGAACTATTCACTCCTCCCAACTATTATTCTTTTTTTAGAGTATTACTTCCACCTGTGAGAGAGGATTTCGATATCCATATTATAATATATCGTTTCAGATGAAAAATATTGATTTTTTTAAATTAAATAATTTTTGTAAATTACACGATTATTTCATTTCTTTGCTCATCAAATTTATATTTTAATAAAGGGGCCTTTTCGTAACCCTTTCAATAGTGACTGGATTTTCATGTAAAGTAAAAATATAAATATGGACATGTCTGTACATATATGTAATAATATTTTTATAGATATATTACAAAATATGAGTCCTCGGAAAAAAATACTAAGGTGTGTGCTTTAGACCATACGATAAAACTGAAAACATCAACAAGGCGAGATTATTGATATGAAATAAAAATTATAAATAATAGCTCATTACAAAGAAGATGAAATGTTGAACATTTCCCCTGCTTATAGTATACAGGTCCGATTTTTATTACGTTAATCCATATGTTCAACTACCTCGTTATCATTTGGTTTTCGACACTTTTTTTTCCTATTCCCCTTCCTTACACGGTGTCGCGTTAAGATACAAGTTTGAATTATAGCCTATTACAGAGAGGATGAAATGCTGATCAATCTCCTCGCTTACAGTACGCAGGCCCGATTTATAATTTCTGAGAAACTGCCTCTGGGAAATGAAGGAGTCGCCGGACAGAGACATCGTCCTCGCATGGGCACCCTCACATTGTGGCATATCTGGGAACGAAGCTGCAGACAGAGCTGCGAACCTGTCAAGAAGAAAAACTAATGGACCCACAATGGTCAATTTAACGACCACTGGATTGGAATGAAAAAGAATTCTAAATGAAAAATGGCAATTCAAGTGGAACCAATCTACGAATAAATTACAAGAAATTAAAAAAGATACCAAACCGTGGACGACTTCTTTCAGAAAGAACAGAAAAGAAAAAACAATTTTAACTCTGCTTAGAATTGGACATGCAGCCTTTACCCATGGCTACCTAATGAGAGGCCTGGAACCACCATTTTGTAAAACATGCAACACATCACTTACACTGAACACATTGTAACAACTTGCAGACTATACTCTGACACCAGAACAAAACATACTATACCTTCCAACATATCTGAAGCACTTTCAGATGACGAAGAAAAGATACAAAAAGTATTTGAATTTATAAAATACATTAAATTTGTACACCTAATTTGATTACATTTAAAGCCGCTAATGACCCGATCAGGTAAATGCGGAATGTAACAATAAATAAATAAATAAATAATTTCTGAGATATTTTAATCCATATGTACAAACATTTCAATGATGGGATTCTAGCCGACTATACCTGAGCGTTAAATCTGACGAATCTATCTTATTCATTTTAAGTGCGCATAAAGATGTTTTCTCTACATAAATGCTTGGAAAATTCCATTTCAATCTTACTTCATAAATTGAGTCCTTATTTAGTTTACTTATCTCAACTTTTTTCTAGTTGTTCATGATTCATGGCATTGTTATTTAATAATGAATGTTGTTTATATTGTTTTTTTTTTTGGCTCCTATATCTCAATATGTATTCTGAATGTTGTTTAAATTGTTTTTCTTTTGGCTCCTATATCTCAAGTACACTTTTTAAAAACCTATTTTTGAATAAGTTATTATATCGGCATCATGTTAAAGTAACGAATGTGAAACGCTGTGCAGATTGAGATTTCTCACTTTAACATGTTGCCGACGATATGATTTCTCTTTATTTGTACCGAAGGTATAGTTATTATTTAACTGTGTCAAATCTTTGTATATATTATACTTCGTGTATGAATAAATTACCAAAATCAATCAGCTAAAAGTTTTTAGGAAACAGGGAGTATTTTTGGATAAGTACCATCATCTTCTTTGGATGATTAAATCTTCCTACTCGAAGAATAATCATTATTATCACTAATTCGAAATCGACCATGAAAATACCATCATGGTTTTGAAAATTGAATTTTTTCGATATCCTATCAGAACGGCCGACTTTTGCATTGTATATTTTTAAAATTGGCACCGCCATATGAAATACCTTGTTAGAGCTTTCAGTCTTATAGCTTTTAGATGAGTGAATCAAAAAACTTGATTACTGAAGATGTGTACTAAAGATGTGTATATTTTAATCGATTAAATTATATGGCTAAGGACGCAGAAGTGAAACTTGGGGTATAAAACTATAGTGGGGTTCTATACTCCATTATCATTCTCAAGGAAAAACGCAGGCCTAAGGGAATAGAGTAGACAGAATAAAAGCTATATGTATATGGGGGAGAGGAGGGAGGGAGCTTTCATCCAGGCAATTCATACTCTCTGTAATAAGCTATAATTCAAAATTTTATTTTAACGCGACGCCGTGTAAGGGAGGCGAAAATGAAAAAAATAATGTCGAAAACCAAATAATAACGAGATTAGTTGAATATATGGATTAATATATTTCAGATACTAAAAATCGGACCTGTGTACTGTAAATGATGGAAATATTCAGCTATTTGTCTTCTTTGTAATGAGCTATTATTCAAAATCGTGTCTTAACCCAAAACCGTGTTAGAGAGTAGGAGAGGGAAAACGACTCTAGCCGACTTTACCCGAGCGTTAATATCGAAAGAAATCTAACTGATCAACCTAATTCACTCTCCACAAAATAATACAAAGCGCGCATAAAGAAGTTTTCACTTCAAAAAATGGATTTGCTCGGGTTTGGTTCAACAGACCTCAATCAATAGTTTTTGTCTGCTTTTTTTTTTTCTTCTATTTTCTGTAATAGGAATTGCTCAATATATTTTGTGCAAACTTTATATAGCCAATGAGGGAATGAGGGAGTATTGGACATTAAATAATTGAATCATTCACAGATGATTGAAGTAACTCATTTGGTAAGGTATAGAACTTCCAATTCCCGAACAGGGTTCGATATCGGCAATAGCACAAAATCCAGCTCTTGCAACACATCCAATTATGTAGTATGTAGGTACTCTTATTGGATTGAGGATAAACCTATCTTTATTATCAAATTATGTTTCGCTATATTGAGCTGATTGTTACAGTAATTGTCTTAAATTTTATGATCGTTTTCTTCCTCTATAGATTCTATTGGCGTTGAGACTGTTAAGTGTTTTTACTATATGCTTAACTGTCAAACACCTATTGTTTAACTTGGTCTTAACGAATGGAATTAGATCGTTGTGGCATTGGGATGGGTGATAAGACTTAAGATAACGTGTTTGAGTCACATACTTCAAAATGAAGCTAATAAATATTTGTTTTTATCCACAACTAAGCTTCAGCTTTTTTTTCCCTGTCATGCATTATTAACATTATTTTTTTAAAATTTTTCCTTGTCGTTTCGATTACACAACAAATTATGAGAATTTGGAATAATTAAATATAAATACGTCAAATTAAAAAAAAAAATGATTACGTAATAATATTATAATGTAAGCTACAAAAAAGTGTCAGTATATTTGAACTTTATTATTAGTAAACGTCTAGAAAAAAATCAAATACTATGTTGAGCGTTGACACTATGTAGTCTGTTTGATATATAATGATTTGAAGCAGTTGGCAGTGCAAAAAATCATTCAAAATTACTCCTCCGCAATCACTGCAAGTATCAAGTTCTGATGTACGGATAATGAAATATTTCATCGGAATTCACTCCAAACTTTCCATTTTAAACAAAAACCAATACTGTAAATAATAATAACTCGCTTAAGAAACAATAATATTTTAGTAATTCTATGACTTACAGCAAAATCAAAGGTTGACTTGTTACGCTGATTATGCCGACAATAGTTTCTTGCCTCTCCCTGCTCAAACCAAATAAAATTTAAAAGGGGAATTTCATAAGCTATGTTTTTTGTAACATTAAAGTAAATCAATCTTCTCTTTATCAAATGGGCCCTATTCCTTGTTTCAGCCATTCACATCGTTACTAGATTGAATAGATTTATTTGATATTCTCAAGATAAATAAAAATAATAATGGAATTTAAAATAAAGGAAAATATATTTCCTTTTAAATAATAATAATCAAAGGAAGGAAAAGGTCGAAGATATTTGTTACATGACATATTTCAATCAATATTTCGTATTTTCGCTTGTCCCGGTTAATAAATAAAACTTTTTTGATTAATTCATTTATATCATATCTTGAAAATTTTTACAACGAATCTAATCTTCGCCGAATTATAATGATTAAACCATTGTATAGAATTACGTATTATTTCTTTGTTACGGCACAATGAATGATACTTTGAATCCCACAGTTGAAACTCTGATCCAAACAAAATGTTATATAATCCTGTGTCTCTCTCCTTATCATTTTTTATATATTTTATTTTATTTTGAAAGCAATGAATAATTTATGTATTCAGTGGCTTCCTTAGAAGAGGATTGCAGGTGGCAATATTCTCCGGCTCTGCAATAGAGATTTTTTCTTCAGACAAGAACATCATAATTTTTATGAAGATTTCAGTTTTTATTGTTTATTAGTAGCCTGGCAATTTTTTTTAGTAGACATAAAAATATATCTGCCACAAGATGTATTACTTGATATCATTATATAAAAAAAAGAAACCGAAGATAAAAGGCAAAAACATTAAAATTAAATATTTATATATTTATTTTGGATGACTTGTTTATCATTATTATACGTTATTATAAAGTTAACGCGAGGCATAATAGAAACTGAATTCAACAAATTACTAACAGTTTCCATCTAAACTTTTTATTTTTTAATATTGAAATTTACAACTGTATCAAATGATAAATACAACAAGCAAATATGAAATAAGTAACATGACACGTACAACATGAAGAGAAACTGGGTAGTTTCAATGGGTATTGGTTGCACTCCAATTTTATTTCTATATTAGAAGGTCATCTTCTTTTCATACGCCTCGGAGGGTTATCAGAAATAGAAGAGGAAGCAAGGTTGGAAACAAGAGGGTTCGGATGGTTCAGAAGATTATCATCGAAGGATAGGTATCTGGATTGAGTTAATTCGGAAACATATGGTACATT